ATAATAATTTTTACTACATGTTTTATGATTTTATATGAGCGCTGCCAAGCTTATGTCTTACTGTATCTCCTGTTTGCTGTTAGGGGAAAACAAATGCATAAACAAATAAATAAATAGCAAGAACGATCTCCAGGCTTGGTTATTTCTAGCTTCTCTATCTTTGTCTCTCCATATGCTACACAGTCAGATCTGCCTGCAAATGTCATGTTGGAAAAGCTCTTAGACCCCTTCAGTTCCAGCAATTATCCTAGACAATCTTCCTTTTTTTGTTGTTTGTTTGTTTTACAATGAATGTTCTCTCTCCCTCCTCCTTTCCCATCAGCATCTAACCCATGTGAAGAGAATGATGGACGTGGTCCCTGTTCACATCTGTGTCTCATCAATTACAACCGCTCTGTGTCCTGCACCTGTCCACACCTCATGAAGCTTTCAGCCAACAAACAATCCTGCTTTGGTGAGTGGGAACACATTCCTCATTTTTCATACTTTTGCCTTAAGTTTTGAGAGGAAAAACAAGATTGTTTTGTGGGCAACAAGAGACATTTTTTAAAGGAAGCAACATTTATTCAAGCCATTGATATCTTACTTTCATTTAGATCTGAAATAAAAGATCAGAAAAACGGGTCCACCTCAGATGATTGATTGCATCATTCTCTCACCAGCGTTAAAAAGGTTCCTGCTCTACGTGCGTCGCTCTGAAATCCGTGGCGTGGACATTGACAACCCTTACATGAACGTCATGACTGCGCTCACGGTGCCAGACATTGACGATGTCACCGTAGTGGACTTTGATTCTCAGGAGGAGAGGATCTACTGGGCTGACATCAAAACTCAAACCATCAAACGGGTGTTCATCAATGGCACTCAGCTAGAAACTGTCATTTCTTCAGGTTGGTGCCTTCCAGTCTGACATCTAAAATCCTTTTTTTTTTGAGGAACTTCTGAAAACAAAACTGGATGGGAAAGTGGTCCTCCAGAAACTTTTTTGGGTCACAGTTACAAGCATGAAACTCCATAAGAAGGGTTTACTGATTAATATTAATAATAATACTTGCTGTTTTTTTTTTTTTTCAAATATTTGGAAATTGAAATGTGTACAAAACACCAGATGAAGCCTATAAGGTTTACTGCCTATCCAAACATTTATTTTACGT